TGAGCATTGTAGGAAAAATTAGGGGATAATGTCCAAAAAAGTAAATTTTTAAAAAGTGTGTCATTTTTAGACATTTTAATGCAAAAAGGTTATATATTATGGCAGAAAGATAAACCTGGAAAATAGGTGTTGACAGTGTACAGTAACAAACAAAGAGTGCAAGTACATGACCAACAAAACAACAAAAAACAACCAAAGGAACAAGTCCAGAGGAGTCTTAGTTCCGGCTTTCATCGCTGCTGTCTTCCTCTCTTTGAGTGCAGAACTGGGATACAAAGGCTCAGACTGTAGGGCCAAGTTTCCTTCATGTGCTCTATGAAAGCAGATCAAGCTGGGTTTTTGTTGCTAAGAATATGCAGCAGGAGCAGCTCAGAGCATCTGATGAGAAGTAGGTCAACACAAGACCCAGAAAGATATGAGGAGGTTTGATCTAGAGTCAAACCTCCATTATCCGTAGCACCAAATCCTACAAAGCTGTGTCAGTCCTCAAAGAAAAGTGACGCCCGAGGTTGACAGGCTGGATGCTTTCAATTTCAGAAACACTGTACAATTAACCTTTACAGCATTGAAACCTAATTCCTCGTCTGCACTTCAAACATGACAGGCAGTTTTGCTTTTGCTAACTCTAAATTGGAGTTCTTCCAATAGTAATATTTACAGTAGACGACTGCTAGACGAGTCCAAAGGTGAGATTGGAACAACCATGTGATCTGAATCGAAAGATAATAAATGAGGTTAATTAAACAATTGAACACTGGAAGGAATTTGAATGAGCCAAAAAGCAGACGATTATTTAAAATCTTGCTTTAGAGTACATGACAAACAGCTGGCTGACACTTCAGTTAGAGCCATAAACTGCTCAGTCATGTGAGAAGTTTAACAAGTGGTGGAAGACGTATTCAAATCTTTCACTTAAGTCCAAATACCAATTGAAAAATGTAGAAATATTTACTTAGAAATAAAAGATCTGCATAAAGTCTTCTACTTACATAAGCATTAGCAGCTAAAGTGAAAGTTGTTCTTTGGTCCCTCAGACTGACATATATTATTATTATATGCAGTATGTTATTATTTAAGGCGTCATTTGATTATTATTCGTGAATCTTACAGTTGCAGCTCCTGCAGGTGGAGCTTCTTTACTCACAGTTTTACATGCAGAGACAGGAGATAAATCTGAGGTTTTGTCAGACGATTAAAGGGAGAAAAAAGATCTGAAACATAAATCCCTCATCAGTTTCTTCTCTAATGTTTGATTCTTGCTGATCATTTACATTAAAATGAAACCAAGTTAAAGAGAAAGCTGGACCCAGACATGTACAATGTGAACCCGACTGAACTGTCAATAAAGTTGGAAGCGACTGGTTTAATCTTTAACCGTGTGTTGTCTTATAAAAGCTTGTTCTTTGATCCATCGTGTACAATCTTGATCTTAAAAATAAGTAAATAAATGCAGTGGAGTCGAAGCACAAAGTAGCATAAAATGGAAATATTCAAGAACAATATCTCAAATCTGTACAGTACTTGAGTAAATGAACCTTCCACCACCGAGCTCAGCCTTTGTTGAAGAGTATTGACAGCATTATCAGAGGAACTATGGTGTAGAGAAAGCAGCAGAGCAGCACCAGGAATAGCAGCAGGAGGGCCGACATGGAGAAACACAGCGAGTGCAGTCGCATTACTCTCAGGCTTCTAACGAGGCAGGAGGGATACATGCAGCATCCACATATGTTTCTGGGAGTCTGATCCTCCAGCTGGCTCTCCAGAGTCAAGCAGCACAACGACGACGCTGCTGGAACGGCCGGAAGTTCAGGGCCCGGACCCACGACGAAGGCCTCCGCCAGCTGGTGGACGCCGTCGGAGTACGACTCCTCCTGCAGCCGTTGAATCTCCCACTGAGGGAACGGTGTGTTCTGGCGACAGAAGGGGCACTGGAGCCGGCTGGTGTCTTTGGCCCGGCTCATGATGCCGGTCGTGCATCGGTGGCACAGAGCGTGGTTGCAGTTGAGCAAGGTGAGGCGGTGGTCGCCGTGCGGGCCGAACAGCTCGCTGCAGATGGGGCACTCACGGCGGCTGCTGCTGCTGCTGCTGCTGCTGCTGCCGTCGCTGCACAGACTCCTGACACTTCCACTGCAGCCGGCCTGATCCCTGCCAGCCAATTCCAGCTCTTGTGGAACAGATGTCACTCGGTCAGGCCCATCTGTCGCCGGTTGCACGTCTGCTCGGCGATTCCCATCGCGGCTGACCTGGTGTTGAAGCAGAGGCTGTGTGACTGAGTCGCTCTCATCCCCTCGGCTTTCTGCTGCCTTTGTTTTGCATACAACTGCGAGATTAGCCTCCTCTGTTGCCGGCAGCTGATTTTCTTCCAGGGCAACAACACCTTCCTGCTCAGTTTCAAACAGTTTGACTTCAGCCATCCTTCACGGCAAAACAAGGTTCTTGTGTTTGATGCGTGCAGGCTCAGGAAGTTTCCTCATTACACCTACTTCCTGGACCAACTGTTGATGTAATGCCACAGTATAACAAAGGCAACACAGTTCTCCCACACCGCAAACTGAGATAAGAGAAGTATATTCGCAGATAAGCAGTGTGAAGCAATAACGTGAGCCTCAGAGAAGTGCCGCTGGCCAAGTGGTACAGTGAGCATTTCACGATTACGCCCAATTTAACGTGTTAACATATTCAGTGCAACGGAAAGCTTTTGCCAGTTCAGACATGCATGAGCAAGCACATTAGAGCCGAGGAGACAGATTTATCCAGCATATTTAAATAAACATTACATCTGTAGATTAGCCAGTTACAAAAATACATTTCAATATTGAGAAGGAGCAGAGGAGAGCAGCTCATCTGATATTCATAGGAAGTATTGCGTGGTATTTTAAAGTTGTTTTGTCTTCTCCCAACGAGGACCACCTGACAATGACGGGAATTTAAAATGCAACCAGCCCCGTCACCGCAGACAGCTCAACATTGTCGCCTTCGTGCCGTTGTCACATTTCCAAGCAGGCGCAGCGGCATTTAATAAGGCCTCGCAGCGCCGCAGTCATCAGCGATTACATCAGGATCATGTCAACAAGGTGCATCCAGACTAACTAGACAAAAAGAAACGCTTCAACTGCATATTTCTGTCTCTCAGCCGAGCAATAAAAGGAGAACAAATTACTGAGTTTATTTAGGGCAACTTTTATCTAAAGAATCCCAACAAACATTGCTAAAAATGTACAAGGTGTGTTTGTGTTCACATAAATGCAAAAACAGTCGCCTTCAGTTCAGCTTCAGTGTCTCATGAAGGTAAAACAAAGCGTAAAGATGATTTAGTTTCAGGATCGCTCCATCATCACGACACATTAGCGTGTAAACCAACCATTTTTGTGAAAACAATACTTGAACATGTTTCCTCACAAGCCCACAGCCGCTAGAATCAATACTTTCACATTAGCAACGGGTCATTTCACTACATGCAGGTGAAAATGTTAAATCAAAGCTGCACCAAGTGTTTTTATTTTCCAGCCATTTATAGTTTTGGTTCACTCTCAACACTCGAATAGTGTAATTTTCAATCAATTATAAAAGTTACACCAAGTGTTTTATATTGAAATGCATTCTGAGTAGTTCTATGTTCAGCTACATGTGGTTCAGAAAACCTCACTCTGACTTTGGCATCACCATTTTTTTGTTATGTGCTCAAAGATGAGACTTTTCAGTATCGCTTAATTTTCTTTTCACAGATTGTGAATCAAGGACATCCAAATGTCAAGCTTTTCTTTTTAATAGTTCCTGAGATACTGACATCCAAAGAGAAAGAAAAGCAAAACACATGGTAAAATTGGTTGCACTGGAAATTTTAAAAGACTGCAAAAAAATCGGTGGGAAAATATTTGATCTAATAAGCTAAAAATGCAGATATCCTTATAAATATTCATATTTTGTGCTATAAAATTTTCAAGCAAGTCAGAGATTATCGAGCAAACATTGTAGAAGTGTGATGTTTGAGATGAAATGCGTTCCACAACCGGAGATATAAAGAACCGTCTTCAGAAATGAGAACAAGTCTCACTAAAACTGCAGCAGATGATCTAAGCATCAATACTAAAAGAAGAGACACTGAAACAGCCTGAATCCACAGAAGAACTGTGTCATGTTTGCTTAAACAACCAACCTGACAGGTACCTTGAAACTGTCTGCAAGAGTATCTAGCAGAATTATTGTAAAAACAAACAGATGTTCACACCAAATATTGAGTTCATTTATGTTATTTTCTGTTTTTACTGCCCTAGTTCCATCCTCCAGGGCTAAATTTAAAAAAAAAAAAAATTGAAGTGGAATTGCCAACGACTGCAGTTCCACCACTGGCCACTAGAGGCTGCTTCAGGAGCAAGTCAATCCCCGTAGACCCCCATGTTAAATGTCCAACTTCACAGCAGTAGTAAACACATTTACAGCCTGCATTAAAAGTCAGTTTTGATCTCCACAGCTAATTTTGATGTTCACGACAACTGTTCAGGCAGTGAATTATGATGTAATTCACTCATTTAAATTGTATTAAAACCTAAATGTATGCAGAAATAATGGTGCTGTCACTCAAAAATCGCTCTTTTGGGAACCTGTGAGTGACTTCACAAAGGGTTTATCCGTCTTTATGCACAGCCTAAGACATAAAATTAGATTCTAACATGAAAAATTATTTTTAAAAGCATCCTCACTTTACTTTCAGAGTCTAACACCTGAACAGAGCAGCTTCTCCACAAACGAGCAGCAGCTTAATGGTACTAAAGTTCAAATCGACGCCAGCTAAACCACATCAAAAGCTAAAAAAGGTTGGAGTGGTCCTTTAAGCTGTCGTGGCGTTGCGCTGTATCTAGAAGATCAATCAGCTGACTGCTGAGTAACCTGAGATATCAATCAAAAAGCAAACACACCTGCGGCTGAGGCTGAGCCCAAGGTGGTTACACATTAAAGATTTAAAATCAGAGGCCTGAATAATATTTTCAGATAAAGCCAACAAGAGAACGAAAGTGACTCCCAGTCATTGTATTATGAGACACACCTCAGAAGAAACCTTTACACTGACCTCAAAGTAGAGGAATATAATTTATATGAACCCCAATCTCACATGCAGACAGAAAAACATTCACATATCCGCTGAAAACGTCATCGAATCACAACACACAATGCATTCAATCATCTAAATTGTGCAGCGTAAGACGGCTTTGACAATCTAATGGTTCTGTCAGTGATACAACAAGGCAATTCCGGTGCTCTTAGCATCGCTCGCTTAATCAAAAGTTCACATCTATGAACTGAATCCACTCAGTCAGGCACTTGTCTGCTGTATATGAGGCTGGAATAGTCTATTAGTGACTTTTACAAGGCCAAAAAAAGAAAGTTAGAGGGTCAAATAAGGTCAAATGTTAAATGAATGTAGAGTCCCATTACAAGAAAAGCTCAAGCGTCCCTTTCCTCTTGCAATTTATTGCACATGTCGGAACAAAAAGCAATCGTAGACTTCCTCCTCCGACATTAAGGTCAACCCTGACCTGACGTCTTCTCTGCTGAAAGTCTCCGGCTGCAGTTCGGGGAGGTTAGAAGTCCAAAGTGTCGCGCTGGTACTGCAGCCGCGGACTGTTTTCACTGTAGAACTGACTGAACCAGCGCCGGTGCTTCTGGATGGCCGAGTCCTCCTTCACCAGGAGCGGCTTGGCGATGTAGGTCTTGTTGTTCCAGATCATCACGTCGCGCTCAAACTGGATTCAAAACAGGGAAAAGATTGTCAATTATGATTCCAAAAAGGCTACATTGATTTATAATAAGAAACGTGATCTATTATTTATATTTATACCCGATTTATTTCAGCAGATTTGAGCAGATTTTCTCCAAAGCGAGGCTAAGAATTAAATAATCATGACGGCATTTCTGCCTCGCTGCATTGAATTATTCTAATTTATCAGCAGGAGTTTCTGTGTGAAGCGTTGTTGATTAAATGTCACGACTCAGCAGAGACTTGGCATTTCAGTAAAAACTCTCCCCCCCTGAACTTTCCTCTAAAATGAGTTTTCTCTGGAAATGTATTCTTTAAAGAGGCAAAGCATCGTCGTGTTTAATCAAACTGTTCATCTGTGCTTTGGTTGAGCATTCAGATAAACTTTTCTCTTCAGTCAACGTATCATTTCTCCCTTTAGCTAAAACGGCTGCGACTGTGTTTCTTCACCTCACAGTTAATTATCACGTCTAATGAGGACTATTTACACCTTTTCTGTGACTGTGTGATGTCACTTCTGCCGGCAACGAGAAGTCAGAGTGGGAGGCAAATGCACACGTGAACCTCTCAAATTAGGCTAACACTGACTCATAAATTTAACAAGGAACAGTTTTCATGTAGATGTTCGTAAAAAATTAAACATAGGAGCCTGTTGCTGCTAAAAAAAACAGGTTGTTTGAGACTAAAACCACGTGTTGAATATGCTAATAGCACAACTAAAGGCTGAAAGGCTCAAAAGATACACATATGAAGTCATTTGAAAAGGATATATTCAACTTAAATAATCGTCTTTTCTCTTCAGATAGCTCAGGATGATGACAGTGGAGCAGCAGCACAAACCTTCTGGGTTCTAATCATCATTGAACTTCTCCTCGACCAGCTCTGATTTGCTTGAAACTTTCTCCATAAACTACAGATATTTAGAAAATGGTGTCTGTGAAAGTCTAGATTGATATATCAAGTACATCCAAAGATAATGTTTTTTAAAGTTGAACCGCTTTCTGCAGGTTTTTTCACACATGAAATTTGAGGCTGTTGGAAAAACAATATCTCAGGAACTAAACCTGAAATCTTCACTGTTTATTCTCATCATGTCATGAGTTAAACAAAAATAACTTTTTATCCATTTTTGTTAAGTATTTCAAATTTCAAAAGTTTTCTACACGCTTTATTTTGAAATATTGTGGTATGCATTTAAACATGGTTCAGAAAATATCACAAGCTGATTTCTGCATCATCATCCTTTGGTAATATGAGCCTTAAGATGGGGCTCTTCTTCATATTTCAGCTCAACTATAATCAGTAACTAGTTGATTAACATGTCCAATACTGCAGATTCTGAGTCAATGAAATGATGAGAAATAACAGTGAAAATTTCAGGCTTTTATCTTCAATTGTTCCTGAGATATTGTTTTTAAACAGCCTCAAATTCCTAAACACCTGAAAGTGGATCAAAGGGAAATTACAAATGTATGTAAATATGTGCACATAACTTTGAAAAGTTTTGATTTATCAAGCTAAATATCTTACAAATATCTTTATAAACATTCATATATACAGTATATATATGGTACTATACATTTTTCAGGCACATCAGAGATGCTCAAGCAGAAATTGTTTCAAAAGTGTTCATTTGAGTCGGGATGCGAACAATGAAAGACAACGTGATTGTAGAATTGGAGGGTCCACTGCACCTGAATGCACTCTGCCTTCAGGATGAACTTGGGCACCACAGGTGGGATATTTGACTGGTAGAAGATGGTGTGAGAGACACACTGCAGCAGAGGCTCCACTGGAGTCACACAATGCATGATCACGCCTCGGCCCAGAAAACTGTGGTTAAACATCAGGAACACCACTCCTGGACCCACCTGCAACACAGAAACATAACCGCAGCCTGATTCCTCATATATGGAAATACTTATTTTAAAGCTGTCGATTCATAGAACTGTCATGTCTGTTTATGCACGAGTGATTGATTTATCACTTGCATTCATTTGCAATTAAAACAGGGTTTGACCGAGAGGACTATCGGATCCAATAGTCAGCTTTTTAAAAAAATATTAAACTGATATCTAATCAATAAATTGCTTCATTTTCCGCCCTGACTGAGCCTCCTCTGTTCATCTGTAGTCATCAAGCAATGTCACGCCTACGGCACTGTCATACTAGGTATGTGTCAAGAATATTAACCAATCAACATTCATAAAAAGGTTGGAAAGGCTTTTAAAGCTGTAGTAGGCAAAAATCTGGGACAAACAAAACAAAACCAAAAAACGGATAGAATTTGAAAACATACAGTCAGCCCCATTACATTTTCTATCTGAATTTGAATATCTGGAATTAATATTATAAATAACATTTCACCAGTCATAATTACACTGTGTCTAAACAGTATTTTACTTCAGATATCCTCAATGTCATTCCAACCAGTCAAAATGGCAAATACAAAAATCTGTAATTCAGTTTGGACTGGTCAAGACAATAGGTGCAGATATCTCAAACATCATTAGAAATAAATTGAAGATAGGATAAAGATAAGACTCATTTTTCCCCAAACAAATTATTGTGCCAGATATTGCTCGGAAATAAACAATGACATAACATGAGTATGATATACATTACTGCAATAAACAATAAGACTGGAATAGAGAAGTACTAAACTGCTTATTCAAGACTTCCCATCAGATATCAGCCCAACAAAGCATTTGAACAACGTTAGCAGAAGTAATGGCAGCTCCTGTGATGGAAAAGACTGTAAGAAATAGAAAGAGCTCATCGCCAAAGAGTTTGTGCAGAACGAGAGCTTCTCTCATTACAGACTTGTGGCGTAAATTTCATTAGAATTTCAATTTCAGGCAACTCTGGCTTGTCATGTGCGTTTACATTTGATTCAAAAATCTTCCCACACCTGGCCAGAATTCCTGTTTAAGGTAACTACTGGGATCTTTCTGCGTGGAGTTTGCATGTTCTCCCCGTGCAGCGTGGGTTCTCTCCGGGTTCTCCGGCTTCCTCCCACAGTCCAAAAACATGTTGAGGTTAATTGGTGATTCTAAATTGTTTGTAGGTGTGAATGTGAGTGTGCTTGGTTGTCTGTCTCTAAGTGTAGCCCTGTGATAGACTGGTGACCTGTCCAGGGTGTCCCCTGCCTTCACCCTGAGTCAGCTGGGATAGACTCCAGCCCCCCGTGACCCTAGTGAGGATTAAGTGATGTATAGATAATGGATGGTAACTACAGTCATTCTGACTTGTTCAATCTTAATTTTAGATACTTCAAAAGGACAATAGTAGATATGCTGCACTTCAGGGGAAATAAAGATGTCTTAAAAACCAAATTAAAATAGTCAGAATTAAACTGTAGATATCTGAAAATAGTCATAATTCAGCTACAGATGTGCAGATTTGTAAGACATCTGCAAAAAGAACCCATATACACAAAAATAACAATAATAACAATGTCTGAAAAAGTTCTTTGTGACTACAATGAGCTAAACTACAAATACCTGTGATGCATATGCAGTCTGACTATTAAACTGACCAGATATGCATTTAATAGCGTATTAAATGTGACTTGTTGATCAGAAGTAAATGTCAATTGTTTAGAAAATGTCATTTACATGCATCATTATGCCCAATAAAGCTACATATTGCACATTCCTGCCTTCATTATAGGAACCGTATCATTGCCTGCAACGTCGTGTCCCTCTGCAGTTCTTTGCGACTCGTTAACCTGCTTAGATCATTAATGGTTTCAGGATGCATGTATGCACAGTCTGCACTGTGTTTGCCCAGCTACACACTGTTGGATTTTTTGCATCCACAAACAGTGTTTCTGTCCCATAAGAATACCGATCAGGCTGCTTCTGTTACAACAAACACTCCTTTCGGCTCTGCTCTGTTTAAAGCAGACAGTGAAGAAGCCATCTCAGTGTTTACTTCTTATTTAACACTTAGAGAGACACGGTTCTGAACCCTGTCAACATGGATTAAATCTTTTCATTTTATTTGAACTAAGAATTGAATTATTGACTTTTCTGCACCTGTCTGGCCACGACATCGACATCCAGTAGCGACCAGTGGTATCCAAAGATGGTCAGCGCATGTTTCACCAGCATCTGGGAACAATGTTTGTTGGGCTCCGACTCTGGTATCCACTGAGCCTTAAATAGACACAGAGAAAACACACAGACATTCAGACAGAAATACATGGAGTACTAAGAGTATGACGCTCCCAATATTCATCCAGTGTTTGTCGAGATATTCCACTCATGGCCAAAAGGGGTGGACCAACAAACATTCCTTCAGCTGGGGGGATATCTGCTTGTTTGTTTGGGAAATTCATCCTTCAAGGTGCTCAGATTTAAGACGATTTGACTGAAACTTTGCAAGATGTTACCTTCCAGTCATGTCGCAAAAACTGCCATGTTTTGCTGTTGGTGTATCGCAGATCTACTCCACTGAGCATGCCCGGAGTGTGCAGGTGAGCCAGGTGAGCCACGTCGGCTGCATTTTCAGGAATTTCCTACACCGAAGAGAAAACACCATTTTTCGTGAATTTGCTTGAAAAATAAAAAGTTTCAGCCGGCAGAGTTGTATTTACAGTATGTGCAAGTACAGAAAGCAGATCTGAGGACTCAAAGTAACCAGTTGAAGGGCGCTGAGGGAAGAGCCTCCTTTGTACTAAACAATCATACTGATCACAAACAATAAGAAAACGGTTTCATCTTCAATGAAGCGCCTTCATGCTGCGAACATAACAACACACATTGCGCAGCCACCTGTATGTGCGAGTTGATGAAGTGCTCGGTTCTCCCTCGATACACCCACTCTCCCCTCGTGACCTCCTGCTGCTCTGGCATCTTCCACTGAGGTTCTTCTCCATCGCAGTGGAACCAGACCAGGATCTGCTTGTTGACCTCGCAGCTGGGCCAGCAGCGCACTTTGGCAAACTCTGGCACTGAGAACAAACAAATCTAAATCACTGCCTCTTAACATGTAACCAACAAAGAATCCTTTACTGTTGAATTGTAATTCTAATTCATAATAATATCACTTCATCTCAGCGACTAAGCATATTCATGCTCCCCAGAGGCTGAAACATCTCCACTCGGTCTGCTTCCCCTTTGGTGCCACCCTCTGGACAAAATTACTGACTTTGTACACAAACTAATTTGCACAATATTTGCTCTAAATATTCATGTTTAATGAATATTGCAGCTTTTGTGGACCTCGAGCAAGATTTTGCTGCTCATTTTTAAATAAAAAAAAAAAAAAAATCAAAGAGTCCAATTATTTGCATTATTCATCAGATAATGAATAATGTGTAAGAGCTTTGTTTTTATAAGTTGTGAATTATTCCAGAGCACTGAGACTTTAAGGGTGTTTTCCACTGCAGGAACTTGCGTTTTAGGGCAGCCTGAACCTTTGTGCACAAGAACCGACTACGTAGAACCTCAGGAGAGAAAACAGTAGCTACTTCAGGGAAAGGACTTCTGTAAAGCTTCATGCTGATTGGTTAAACAGAACCAATGACATCGACATCCACAAGATCACAGTCGTCTTTAAGGCTAACATAGCAAATCCTACATTGTTCTAGTTCCTACAAAGAAATGGAGTTCCATCCAGTAAGTGCTATTTGTTGTTGTATTAATACTTCTGGAGTTGACATCACATTGGAATCTGTCAGATAAACCACAATGGAAACACAAGAAGGCTGAAAGGACCTGGAAACTAAAGACGCCTTCAGCAGCAGAGTTTTCCAGGCGTCACATTCAGTTCGTACCTTTGTCTGAATAGGGAACCTTCACACACTTGCCGTCACTCCCCTGAAATCGCCACCCATGAAACGGGCACTCGATGCAGCCTCCAAACACCCGTCCTCCCACGGCCAGGTTGGCGCCCAGGTGAGGGCAGTAGGCGTCCAGCACGCAGGCCTTCCCATCCTCACCCCGAAACACTGCCAGCTGCTCACCTGGCAGGTCAATTACAGCAGAGACAGATCTTTAAAAGCTGGTCTTAAATGAGCTGCCAGTACTGAATACACTGGGTCAGAGTGTTGGATTCAACAGTTTTGGTTGCTACAGAAATGGATAAAATGTGGATTAACTTTACATTTTATATAAACAAGAAAAACTGCCCAAAATGTGTATATTCATGCAAGCTGAAAACAGAAATATTTCTAGAGAACAGTGTTCACGCTGTGCCAAACTTCACTTTTACAAAAGCAGGTGTTTGTTAAAGTAGATTTTGTTTTTTTCCATGAGTTTAGCACCATTTAAATTTTCCTAAACCGCTTGAACATTTACAGGAAATAAGGCAATTGCAGTAAAAAAAAAAAAAGATGGACGTTTGTGTATAAGAGGCAGAGCTGAACAATCTGGGAAAATACTCAGTTAGGATGGTTTTTTTTTGAGATTGTGATTTTGTTGTGTAATAGATTAAGAACACAAAAATGTCACCGAATATGTAAAATCATTGACATAATCGAGACTTTGGGTCAGATGCTCATGCATAAAGACAAATTCTTTGTCAGTATTGTACATTGTCTGTACACATTCTATCTTGTTTTTCCGGTGGTTTTATTTTTTTTTATTTTTTTCTAGTGCTGAGTAGTGAGTCCATTGGTTCTTCTTCTGGTCCAAAAGATTTCATTGCATAGTTGACTGTGTGTTAACCTGCATGTGACAAATAACCAAGTCCTAATCAGACGTGTTTCATAGGATTATTGTAACTGCAGTTTTAAAATTGCAATTTCAATTTGGAATTAATTAACTGTTCATCCCTAACAGGGGGTTGGATCTGCATGACATTCTACCATAGTAGTTTGGTTTTTTTAATAGTACCACTGTGGGGAAATTAATTCAAATTATATTGGCTTCAAACAGTAATTTCACTGTTTATTTTATCACCTTGATCCTGCTGCTTGTCTTTTTTGACTGATGAGTAACACACGTTTAAAGTGACTCTTCTGGTCCAGACTGTGGTCTAATTAAAGCTCCTTCAGTCGGGGTTCTAGGAAACCCCTACATATGCAGCAGGTGCAGACTGAGTTCAGACATGAGGATGTTGACCTACTGTATCTGGCTTGACTTTCAGCTGTAGTCACTCCCTGCAGAGTTTAGCGCAGACGGTGGTTAACTGCTGAGCCAGTTCTCCCGGCGCAGGGTCACTGTTACGGTGGCCGATGGGGGCAAATGTGCATGTACACAAATGAGCTGCTTATATATGAATGTGTTGCATGAACAGAAACGAGCTGCAAAAAGAAAACGCTGCATATCCAGTCACACAACGGTGGTGTCACAGGCCTCTAGGGGCAGTTTTTAAGTCTTTAGCTTCTCAGTCACTGTGATTATATGGGTGCTAAAGTGGTGTTTTACTACCTTCTGCCTGTGTTCTCTCTGTTATTTATGTTTATCCATGGAGACGAGAGAATACCTTTTCATACAGCTTTTCCCTCAACTACCATTGCTTGTCTGCCTCACAGGTGAAAAGCTCACTACTGCCCCTAGAGGCCACTGTACAATGTAGACTAACGTTCTAAGAAATCCAAAATAAGACTTGGCCAAATGAGGGGTGACACGGCACTGCATGGGGGAGAAAAGACCCAGCAGGCAGAATTTAATATGTGGTGTAAACGGATGACTGGAGGAAAGCAAGGAGGGCGACTCTGCAGTAATTCATAGCATGACGCAGAACCTGAGCGGAGGCCAGCTTTTGATTCGGGTCAACGCTACGGGGAGAAGTTGAGCTGAAAGGGACTGCAGGGGGAGAAAGTAGAAAATAAATCAGCTGTATATTGACCCTCATGGACAGAAAAGTGTTTGTGTTTTCTCCACAAAAGCAGCTCATGCACTGCTTTATGTTTCCCACATCATCAACCACAGTTCTGCACCGCATTTAAAGTGAACAGGAGCCACAATGGTGCCTAAAGTAAGATAACATATAGAAACATGTGATCAAAATCAATCAAAAACACCCCAAAATACCACTGTTATTATAAAGTTTCTATGTTCTGAGCTTGACCAGTTGTCACAGAAATGCTCACATGTGAGCTCAGTCGCCGCTATCACTTTAATATCGTGCTTCAGTTTGGCTTCAGTCAGCAGATTAAATGGACTCAATCATTAGAACCACAATCCTGATTAGACGTTTCATTTGGTTTGAGCTTGTCAAGTGTGAGGATTTGCTGCTTTTCTCTCTTATATAACTATAAATTAAATATCTTTTGGACTGTTGTTGGCACAAAAACAAGTAATCATTCAGTGTCACCTTGAGCTGTGGAAATTTAGGGATGATCTTCTATATCCAAAAGATAAAATAGCTGATTGGCGAAATAGCTTGTGGATAAATTGGTGGTAAAGAAGACCATTACTTCCTACCACATGCTGTAACCACAGGGGAGTGTCCAAAATCATCCACTCATTCTCTACTACCTATCTAGAGACCACTATATAGTGAACTATGGAGGAAGCTCCTCAGCAAAAATAACAATTTCATGCTCTATTTGAGTTATTTAATGCATTAATTACATCACTGGTGGTCAATTAAACGTATGAGCTCGTTTCTGGCTTTGCTAGTGAACAGACTGGAATTTTTATCATAAATTTATAAGTAAATAAAGAACTTTGTATTACTCTGCTTCCATTAAAAGGTGTTAATATAGATTATTATTTTAGATTTGAATATTCTCTTGCCATAACATATGGACAGTTACACCTATAGAAGGGATATATTCAGTAGAAAATTCATCTTAACATGATATTAAAATAAAAATGTCACCAATCCCTAATTGGCTTCCACAATGGTACATATTTCTTGGTGACCATCGACTAAACGTTACTCTTCATGGTGCCTTGTGGGATATTTTGAGTTCACCATGTAGGATGTAATAATTGTCATTTAGTAGTGCTGTCCAAATAGAAAGTCACAAACAGCCTATGTAGCAAGTGGTGACCGATTTCGGACACGGACCAGGTGTTGCTCTAACTGATGCGTCTTTCACGGGTATAAAACCTTTCATACAGTCCGTTTGTTGATTTGTGGCAGGTGATGAGACGGAAACATGAAAGCTCCACGCGCCCTTTGAAACCTTTTTCAACTCAAATTCAAAAGAACTTCTGTGAAGTGATCAAACAGCATATTAGGACAAAAGAAAACGCATTTAGAAACGTGAAACACACGATTAAAACCAAAGATAGACGAGCATGAAATACACTTTAGGCTGCTGCATATTAAACAGCACGTACATGTGACACATTACTGATCATAGAGAAACCTGGATCAGCTCAACATAAACACTAAATCACAGAGGTCAGCTCGTGCTCAAACGGATCAGTTGAGTATTTATGATGGAACGTGACCTACATGAACAAATCATGGACTGAGGAAGGTTAGAAGGAGGTTTCTCTGCAGATAAACTTTTACAAAACAGCTTTTTTGCCTCTGGAGATCCCAACAATGTGGATTTATCACTGTTTTCTGCCATTTATGGACAAAACTACCAGCTGGCGAATACATCAATCAAGACAATTACTGGCATGTAGTCGTAACCACGGCATCGATCTCCATGACATCTTCACCTCAAACAAGCAGGTAAAAGCTTGTACAAACTGCTTTGTTCCAAATAAAAGCGTTACCAAGCTCCCTAATGCTTCAACCTGCCCCAACAAAGACTTGGCCATTGTGTTTGAAATGTACATACATACCTAAAATACAAAAACCCCTCCGTAATATGAGCTCCTACCTTGGAAACTGTCCTAACAGAGAGAGAGCAACAAAGACAGATGAGCTGGCAACCATGACAGTCGTGGAAAGGTCAGCAAATAAACCAAAAGAACTGAAAATGTGCAATGAAGACAACGCATCATCTGTGTTGAGCCACAGTGTGTTTCAAACCAAAAGGAAGTCTTTGCACAACACATCCGTTTCATGATGCAAGTTTCAGTCAGACTCCTGCAGACTGAAACTCGCAAGACTACATTCATCAGCGCAACGTTTCAGTGCAAGACTGTCATCAGGCAAACTGTTGGGTATAAAGAGAGAAGCCATCTTCAAAAGGAAGCAGCTGTGACTCCGTACTGACTCATAAGGATGTAAAAATATCAAAACATCCCAAAGAACCATACAGAAGATAATTAAAAATATATCAATTCTGTACATTTTTCTGTAGATAAACTAGAGATGGTCTCAAGGAAATACATTACTCTGACATTTCCTTACAGATTTTCACCTTTCTTCGTTGCCATTTTTAATGATATCTAGCAGAGTTCTGTGTTCTGGGGTAGTTCAGGATCATGCATATATGCAACCTGTTAGTCTAGTTCTTTTTGAGAATGCAACAGGCTTTAAGTATTCTTTTTCTAGGACTTTACTCATACAATGCAAGAATCCATCCATCCATCTATTATCTATACTTAATCCTCACTGGGGTCATGGGGGGCTGGAGTCTATCCCAGCTGACTTAGGGTGAAGGCAGGGGACACCCTGGACAGGTCACCAGTCTATCACAGGGCTACACTTAGAGACAGACAACCAAGCACACTCACACTCACACCTACGGACAATTTAGAATCACCAATTAACCTCAACATGTTTTTGGACCAGAGAGAACCCACGCTGCACGGGGAGAACATGCAAACTCCACGCAGAAAGATCCCGGTGCCCCATCAGGACGCAAACCGATGACCTTCTTGCTGCGAGGCAACAGTGCTACCAACTGCGCCACTCTGCAGCCCCGATGCAAGAATGTTTGTGCTATTTATGAAAGTCATTTTCGTCGTGCTAATAAATGTATTTTTGCACGTTAGACAGTGTGCATGAGTCTGCTTGGAGACTGACTACGATTAAACTTTTTTTTTAAAAGTCATCCTCAGCATTCACACTGGCTGGTTGACAGCATGGACGGATTAACCTCCCACTAGAGGCCTCTTCTTAACTCCACCACACACCCAAAAACCAACAAGTGGCTTGGTTAAAAAGTAAACTATTTAATAAATGAAACATTTTAAAGCAAAAACTGTCTTTTTACCAGTTTTCCCAAAAGTGGAAATCTGGTTATATATTGATTAATAACCCTCTGGAGTCGATGAAGTGCTGCTTTGCCACCAAAGCTAAAACCAGAGTGAACCTGGATATGAAGGCAAAAAAACGACAAAGTCAGGATTCAAAAGCAAAAGCCGCAAAATGGGCTGTATTTTTTTGTTTACAGTGGCCAAAGTGACATGCCCTCCAGACGTGTCCTGTCGTGCTCCCTGTGCAACCAGGTCACCTTGGCACAAGTAGCCACATTCATACAAACATTTTTTATTGTAGCCTCAAGCTCTTCAGTGTTCTCCATTAGTGCTGCCTGTTAGACCAACGGGGAGAACTGCAGTCAGATGTGAACAACAAAAGTCCAAAAAAAAAAGCCTCCATAATGTGAACTGGACAGACAGGAGGGCTTCCACACAGCACACTCTGGTAAAACTGTGCAGAGGAGTGTAAAGCAGTATAAATCTTGTCTCACATCAAAACAGAACGAAGAACACACAGGTGGAGCGAATCGATCTTTCACTGCTACTCTGCAAAAACACTGAACCGGTCCAGAGTTCTGTCAGATTCTGCACTGTCTTCCGTGCTCTCTAATGAACTCTGACTGCTGAGCTCGGTGCTAAGCCTCTCTGCAGGTCATGTAGTGGTGCCTGATGCTCCACAGCCTCCACAGGTTACCGGAGGTGTGAATGTTTCCAAAGTCGAAGCCTGAGAAAGGACACACTGTGGAAGTGTTGCTGTCGGCCTGCAGCTGCACACAAACTGTTTTTAAAAGTGAGCATTACATTAGAAAACATGTAAATACTGTGACTAGGACTGACAGTGTGAGGAGTTTGATATTCCTGTCTGCCTGCAGAAACTGTTTTGCAGAATTACAGCTGAGAAAATGAAAACATTTTGTGTGCTTGTGCCGCCTTTTATTACATTGTAAATATTTGCTTTGTGAGGAGATGAGGCCGTCGGTCTCTCTGCAGGCCAAATCTGTTCTGAAGTACAATGACGCTTTGGATAAAAATAGATGGAAGGACGTTTCTAGATAAAAATGCTCATGTTCTTTCCAGTTTGCCAATATGTGGGGGGACAATTTTCAGGAGGCAAAAATCTTTTTCTCTATCATCTTTGTGATCATATAACCAGACATAGATTCATTTGATATCACTGCAGTTTACCTTCAGATGCACATAGCCCGGTTATATCCTGCAGGCATTATTATAGAAGGAGACCAGGCAATCCAAAAAATAAGAAAATATGTCTGTCAAGGCTGCAATTTAGGATATACGGTATGTGATGTAGGGTTTACACTGGGGTCATTAGTTTTTACTAATACTTATGTGACAATCACTTTAGAGACCGTCTTGTGCTCTAAAATGTCCCAAGACATGTTTTAATGGTTTACATCTGCAATACAACAAATAGCACACTGTATTCACTTGTCCATCCATCCATCTGTTATCTATACACCGCCTAATCCTCACTAGGGTCATGGGGGGCTGGAGTCTATCCCAGCTGACTCAGGGTGAAGGCAGGGGACACCCTGGACAGGTCACCAGTCTATCACAGGGCTACACTTAGAGACAGACAACCAAGATGCTCACATTCACACCTACGGACAATTTAGAATCACCAATTAACCTCAGCATGTTTTTGGACCGTGTGGGAGGAAGCCGGACAACCCGGAGAGAACCCACGCTGCACAGAGAGAACATGCAAACTCCACACAGAAAGATCCCGGTGCCCCCACCGGGACGCGAACCGGTGACCTTCATGCTGCGAGGCAACAGTGCTGTACTCACTTGTAAAAACCAAAATGTGTTTGTAGGGAATCCTTAGATTTGTTGCATTTTCACGCATACTTTCTTGGGTTTCTTTGGTCCTAAATTAGCCAAGTTAATCTCCGTATTATTATTACTGTGGGGTCTTGGCCTTAATATTTAATATAATTAGGAAAAATGGTGTCCTATGTAGTTTTTGTAGGGGTTTTCTCCTTAATATTTAATTATTCAGGTAATTTAACACCATAAATAACACTGCAGTGTTTAAACCTGTCATGTTAATTTGACACAATAGTTGTATTTTTCAGCTTGAAAGCGCTTTGGAACCATGGCTGTTTCTTTAAATGCTCCATATAAAACATATAAAACAGTAATGATAATGATCTTGACTATAAAATAATCAGTTGTGGAAAAAAATTGCAATTAGATATTTACTCTAAATCAATCAGCCCTTCTTTTAGTTAAGAAAATGATGCAGAACAAAATGAGTAAACGGGAGATTTGGGCGTCTTTGGGAGCTTAATCCAGCCGCATTGATTGAGTTCTCATCGTGGTCAGAGACAATCATTGCTGCAGAGACTTCCTGCAATAAAACCTGCCTGAACTCCAACCGTCAGGTCAAAGTCTGCTTTATAACATTTGAAAAACAAATGAGACAAAATATGTCCAAAAACAACTTAAAGAAACACATCCATGCTTGGGATCAGACCACATCTGACCGTCTTTCAACATTTGAACCCAATGACCTCGTAAAGTCCACAGTAACCAGGAAGAAGCAACACCTAGTTACTGTCCAGCAAACTTTCTCGTACATAACAAAGGGACTCCCACACCACACACAGTCTGCTGCAAATAAGAACAAGTCCGGCTCTCCTTCAGCATCACCTGGTGGTCCCCAACCTCACCTGTCTTCATCAAACATCCAGTTTAAAATGACTTTTTAGTGCTAAAATGATGCTTGCTGAAGCTCAAGTAAAGAGACTTAAGTTGCCACTTCCATGTCCTGAGATTTAAGTTTCTTCTACTCAGTCAGAAATAAAGGGACATCTTACTGAATTCACCATCCATCACCAACAACCCACCATGTCTGTCCAGCTTTAACCATTTACGCATCATACAGGCCCAACTATGGAGACACGGAAGTCTGTTACTGTATAGAGTAATGCAACCACCACTGTGTATCATACCTAGAATAAAGACATTTTTGACCTCGCCCCTCTCCAGCATGTGCGAGTCCAGCACTCGGTACCAGCCGTTTGGATAAACCGGAGGCAGCTCTCCGACTTTCCTCCTGCGGCGCACCTCGTTGGCCGCCTGCGCTCTGCTGCGCCCGTCCTCGGCGACGTACCCCACATCCTCAGGCGCCTTCAGCAGCTCCAGGGGACAGAAGAGCAGCCGGTAGAGAAACTTTAAGACGAGGAAACAAAGTGCGGCGAGGATGCAGAGGACAGCCCGCCCTGCAGCCTCCTGCAGCCCGGATTGGCTCCATGTGGACTCCCCGCTGCGTCCTGCGTCCAGCGGGTCTCTGCCCTGACTGAGCAGCATGGCACCGACCCCGACACCGATGACGGTAACCGCCTTCAGACTGGACATGTTCCGTCTGTCCTGCGGCTCTCTGGTGTCTGTGAGGTTGCAGTAAATGTCGCCGCTTGCCGCTCACTGGCGCAGTATCAGGTTTACAATGGGCAGAGTTACGCACGGGGCGCTTTGGAGACGAGACAACTTCAGAGTCACTCCCGGAACCGGCACTGTTACACAGAACGCTGGATAAGATCTTTAGGAAGTTGGCTGGGTCTTCTCCAGGTGGATCTTCTCCAGAATGTTGGCACACAACTGGAACACTATTGCTTTAAATACTATTATATGGGACCCAAACAAAAACTTTCCCTATTGAATACACTGCTTAAATTTAAATAAATAAATAAATAAATAAACAAATAAAAAATAATAATTAAAGACTCAAACTAAATAATCAAAACTTAGTGTTTTTATAAACAGTAATTCCCTTTTGTAGAATGTGTGACTATAAACTACGCTTTGCTGCACTTAAAGCAGCTACAAAAGTATTTTTTTCTGGCAACTTTGGACAACTCTGAGTAACTGGATTAAGGACACGCTGTTTATTTTCTTGCTGTATTTCTGAAAACAAAAATCAGGAACATTTTTACAGATATTTGTTACTAAAAGAAAAAGAATGTGTTTTAAGGACTTTCAAAATAAAAGCAGAAAAGTAAATTGTTTTTGTTATATGAGTTTGTTTGTTAATTTACAAATATTTAGAAAAAAGTAAAATGTATATATCTACATGAATTTAAAAAAAGAAAAGAAAATTAAAAATATTTTTACAAATAGAAACTCATTCTTGTATAATGCCCAACTTTAAAACTGCAAAGACCTTCAAGCTTCTTTTTGTTTTGTTTTTTAAACTGTAAGGTGACAAATGGGTTGAAGAATAAAATTAATCAGGATTTAAATTATAACCTTCAGCTACATAAATTGCATTACTACTTGATTTTTTTTTTTAAATTTACCTTCGTTCAATTTCAATATTAATTTAGCATAATGTGTTTTAAATGCAAAGATGGAAGTCATGTTGACAAGCCAGCAGATTGAAACTGAACTCAGAACAGAATCATGAGCTTCTGTCACCCTCTTGTGGTCTTTTGTCTACAATGCTCTTAAAAATAAATACAGAGCTGTCAAATTCAGTCCTTAAAGTAGATATGAATCTAGAAACAGACCTAAATTGCTCACTAAATGTGAGAGTTTAATTTTTTCCTCATACCAAACTGGAAATACCTTCAGTAAGTCTGTCCAGCTTCCTCTTGACTGCCCTTTAATGATTGGGATTTCCTGTCTGTACACATGTTGTGATGCAGATGCGTAAAATAAAGATATGGATGAAAAAATGATTCTGGGGCTGCAAGGTGGTTGGTAGCACTGTTGCCTCGCAGCAAGAAGGTCGCCGGTTTGCATCCCAGTGGGGGCATCGGGATCTTTCTGCGTAGAGTTTGCATGTTCTCCCCGTGCAGCGTGGGTTCTCTCCGGGTTCTCCGGCTTCCTCCCACAGTCCAAAAACATGTTGAGGTTAACTGGTGATTCTAAATTGTCCGTAGGTGTGAATGTGAGTGTGCTTGGTTGTCTGTCTCTAAGTGTAGCCCTGTGATAGACTGGCGACCTGTCCAGGTGAACCTGCCTTCACCCTGAGTCAGCTGGGATAGACTCCAGCCCCCCATGACCCTAGTGAGGATTAAGTGGTGTATAGATAATGGATGGATGGAAAAGTGATTCCACTGCTGATGATCTTAAACACCACAGGTGGTCCAACTGAATCACAAAAAGCCATTTAGTTTTTGGACTCTTTTGTATAACTGGCATCTTATTTAAACTAAACACTCACCGACCACAACACGACGGGAGGCAGCACGGTGCCCATCCAAAGGTGATCCGGACATCATAGTGTCATTGCTTGTTCAGTGCATAGACTGTATAGGAGTTTATACAGTCTATGGTTCAGTGGAGTGTTCGTTCATCTCAGCACTGATTTCCAGGAGTCCTCTAGTGTCCTCTGCTGGATGATTCAGGTCAGGTCAACAGCACCTTTAGGTCTCATTTGTTGGATCCTCTGAGAATAAATAGATGGACACTTCAATTTGTTTTGTACTAAAGGCTTGTAAAACTTGTTGTAAAGCTGTTGACGTTTTATGCTTGCACGGCATGTCTTAGCAATAGGCTGCATATACAATCAACAGTTTTAGCCAGTTCCTGCAAAGTTGCTGCAGTTGTCAGACGTCTGTTCAGGCAGGTTGTAGTAACTAACACTAAAAACCTTACAGAACAATTAAGAGGTGAACAAATCAAAGGCAGCTGCTGATCCAAGTATTATATTAACTAACAGTCCAAGAGATTACTGAAGAACTGATCCAATAAAGGTACAAAAACCACAAACCCAGAGCTCAGAACCCACATGGAGCTAAAGAAGCCTATCAGGAAGGTAACAGTCAGCAGTACATGAAGGGAAGAAGACGAGGTACAAAATAAAATGCACAAACCAGATGAGGAGATTCAGGCAGGTAGACGTCAGTGTAGCATAACACAGGTTTAACTGGCAGAGACCAAAGGAAGATGCAGGACTATATACACACAGGAAACTATTGGGGAGAGACAACACAGGTTAAATACTCGAGGCAATCAAAATTAGAGAGAAAAACGATTAAAGAGAGGAAGTAAAACAACCAGAGATGCACAAGGACAGGGATCTGTACAAAATAAAACAGGAAATAACTGAACAAAATTCAAGCCCATGACACCAGCAGGTAACTGAGTAGCCAAACAGGTCTCAGTGCCATCAGTCTTCAGTGTGAGCGAGGATCTCCTGAATGCATCCTAAAGGCTATCTGAGGTGGTTCCAGCCCACCCAGTCACAGCAGAGTTTGTCCAGTCCGGCCAAGAAACTGGGCTCAGACGGATGTTAAGAGTAGGTCCGGCCAGGCCAGGGTTTAGTCTCTCCTGCATGACTTCTGTCAATCAGATTTTGCCTCAAACTAGCCATGAACTGAGGTTAAATATACATTTATCATGATTTAGTTATTCTTTGAAACTATTGACTACAGTATGATTTGGCTCATTCTGCCTCAGTTCACTGAATTCTCCACAGCTGACCATCTTTGCGCAGTTTTCTTTGTGCCAATCTGTGGAACAATGTTTGAAGTGTCATAACTTGAGAAAGAATTTAGCTAGAATCCTGAAATTTTGCAGACTCTTTCCTATGTATATATATGGTTTTCAATGGCACAACCCTGCTTTGACAGAATAACACAAACTAGATATATGATAGTTTAGATGTAGTCAAAAAATGTCAATGTTTCGGTCAACTCTGATATTCCACCAACCGTAAATCCTTTATTTTTTTAATGTCATGAACTCACTAACAGAATCGGTGGACACAAATGCTTGACTCAGAGTAGGTTCAGGCAAAAAACAGGTTTAATGACAGTCAGGGTTCGGTACACAGGAATTCAGTCCAACAGGCAGAAGTATCCAAGAATCGGCGGGCAGAGGCAAGGTCCAAAAAGCAGAAACAATGTTGTGAACAAACAGGCAAAGGTATCCAAAATCATCGGACAAGAGGCAAGGTCAAAAAGCAGAAACAAGGTCGAGATCAAACAGACTGTGACTTAACTTGAATAAACGCTGGTACGAGGACTGTGAAGTGCAACGAACTGGCGACGAGACAGTGAGACACACAGGGTAATATACACGAGGTAATGAGGGTAGATGGGAAACAGGTGCGGGGAGGTAATCAGGGAGCAGGTGGGACAAGACAGGTACAGGAAGTAAAACTAGAACAGAACACCCAGTGAAGTGATTTCAAAATGAAACAGGAAAGACGAGACATAATGTGCAGACATGAACAGAAACTTGACAGACATGACATTTAACCCTAAGAGGCTGAATGTTTTTCTTGTGACTGGCAACAATAGGAGCTTTAAAAATGTGGAGTGTGGTACCAGTCAGACGTATACTTTCTGAGATAAAACAAGACTGAAATCATGCTTTTGTTGCATTATTGGCGGATATTAGAACAATCATCAGGCAGGTGTGATGGTGAAGCCACTCCAACTGGAAGAGTTATATAATCACAGTTTTCCAACTCATAGTGCTTCAAATAATTCTATGAAAAGTGGAACCAGAATAGAAAAATAACAGAAAAAAAATCTGACATATGTGAGATGGTCAGGCATGAACTTTTTTTTTTTTTTTTTTTTAATTTGGTTAAATGAGGCCAGATGACCCATTTAGTAACCCCCAACCAAAAAGTGCCCTCTGTATGACAACAGATTCATCTTTATTTTACAAAGCAGTACATCTAGTGTATCAACATTCCTAACAATAATATAGAGACAAAAAAAACACAATGTTGGCTGTGAGGAACCCAAATGTTGGGTTAGGTAATGCCTGGAGTAGAAGAAACTAAAAAATACTTTATTCTCAGGGGTGGAGACATAATCTAGCAGTCTAAGTGAGATTTCCAAACTGTTATTTATGCTCTAATACATTTCAATGTTTAGTTCTGTTTCACAAGATTGCTTTTGAACACACCATTGGAGGCAGTATGGGTTTAGGTTTCTCCAAAGGTTCCAGTTTGGCAACAACCATCTTTCGCCACCACGCCCAATTAGTAAGGTTTTCACCTTTCACCTTTCAACTGTTGAAAAAGCAAATAATCCAGGAGATCATGAGATTAAAAAAAAAAAAAAAGATACAAGCATAGATGTGTAAATATTACACAACGTGTTTGTGCAAGGATTAGACAATCTTGCAGAAAGGTCACCCTGCCCGTGTTGTGAATGTGAGAAAAATAGCCTTTCTAATCGGATTGGTCATCTGTGAAATGTCCAGCTGATAATTTGTAATCACAATGTTGACAAGTGAAGGTAAATAGTAATTTAACGATGATCACATGCACTCAGTAACCCCAAATGAGTCAAACACCTTCAAATCATCATAATCAGATTTAAAACTCAAATCATTACACAAATTGTATACACTTTGAGTCACATTTTCGCCAATTCTGCAGACTTACAGAGGCT